ACTCTGAACCTAATGGACTAAGAAGCAAGGCAATTAGGGAATTCATTCATGTGCAGACAATGCTACATCTATTATCCAGGGGTAGCTGTGGCCATAGCTCTAAGCAGTAGTGTAGTGTCCGGCATTGGTGGTGCTGGCTATGCAATTCATTGTGCCTGAGTCTAGTGACGGCAGTAACTATATCTCCACAGGGCCAGTTCTGAAATTTTATTTTGGGCATTGATCTTGACTCTAAACTTGGTTCTCTGGCTCTCATGGAAAATTCCAATATCCTTTAAATAAATTCCTTTGCTGGCTCAATTAGTCAGAATTTGTTTTCATTCTTGCAGCTAAGACTGACTTATCAGAGGGCTAGTCCAGAAACTGAAAGAAAAGTCAAAGTCAGTCATCAAGTAAAGTGAGATCATAGTAAATGAAAAAAAGATGAAATGTTAAAACCTCTGGCAAGTGATGAGTGAGCTGGAAGAACCCTAACAACCAATGGCAGACGCCTTGCAAGTCTTTAGCTTCTATCACATCCAATAACTTACATCAGTGTTTGGCAGCTTTGGCTGCACTTAGAATTACTACGAGATTTTTTTTTTTTTAAATCCCAATGCCTAGGTCACATGCCAGATCACTTACATCAGAATCTCAGGTGACAGTATTTTTCTAAAAGCTCCCCAGATGACTAAATGGGCAGCCAATATACGGCCAAGGCTGAGATAGGATGAGAAGAAGCCAGAACTATAGATGGAAAACAAAACAGATGCCCCTGGCTGGAGTGAGGAGTGAAAGGGAGGAATCAGAACTGATAGTGACACAAAATGAACACACTGAATGGATGCATTGACTCATATATGGTGTCTAATACAAATTGTTGACCTCACCATGTCCCACCATTTTTAATTCTACAGTATTTATCCAAACCACTCTTCTCTTCAAATCCATCTTCTGCCTTAGCTTAGATCCTTTATCAGCTCTCATGTGGCCTATTGCTACCAGCTTCCAGTTGGCTTTCCTGACTCCATTCACTCTTACCTCCAGTCCTGGTAACAATGTTACCAGACTGGAACCATCTGTGTAAAAGGCAAATCTGATTGTGTTACCATCCAGCCCAACCTAATCCAATAGACCCTCGAATCCTACCAGATAAAACCCAAACTTTTTAGTATGGCTTAAAAACCTTTATGCTCTGTCTCTAGTTAACTTCCCAGCCTCATTTTCTGCCTCATCCTGGATCCCCAGCCGTTCTCCAAGCACTCACCTCTTCCAAACGTACCATCATCTTTCATATCTTCATGCCTCTTTGCTGATACACTTATTCTTTCTCTGAATTAGGTGTAAATGTTTGTAAGATTATCTTTTATGCATTTGTGGTTTACTACTTAGATATTTGATCCATGTAATAGTATTCACTGAAAAGATTAGAAATTTCTAGAATGCAGAAACTCTGCTTTCTGACCTACAAAATGCTTCTGATGATTCTGATGTGTTTGATAGTGATGAATTTGGTGATGAATGAAAATGGTGCAATAGATGTTGCATTTTTAAAAAGGGTCAGGATGAAGTGAAATTGTCTAAATTTTCATGTCCCAGGGAAAGTATGAATGAGCCTTTAAGCAATAGGGAGAATGAGGTAATTTTTGAAGTTGTAATGATTATGTTATTCAGTTATTGCTGTAAAATGCCAGAATGGATGTTCTTTTATATCCTGAGGCAGGTTCTTTCACCAATGTGATTATCCCACCCATGTTTTTTCAATACTAAAATAATGCTCTAGCTCGGGTGTTTCATTTATGCTAAATCCAAAAAGATCAAGTGTAAATAGTGTATCCAGTAAGCAAGAGGGTTCATATATGGAGTCTATAATAATTATCTAATTTGAAGTGATATTTTCCAGTTTAAAAATAAATCCAGAGTTCTATTTCTTATAAATCATGAAAGATCCCTAGATTTAGCAACTTTTCCTCATTTCAAACTGTTTGCCTTTACCTATGAAATCTTCATTATCACTTCAATTTGGTTTCAAAGCAAATTTTTGAATGGCTACATACGGTAATATTAATTTATGTATTAGACTAATTAAAACAGCTTATATATGTGTGGAATAGGAAATTGCCATTCTTTCTTATTAAAAGTGTCTAATTTTTAATGTTAGAATACCAGATTTGTAAGCAGTTTACTTGCCTTGAACTAAGCCCATGGCTTTGATTACCATGTAGGGTACAATGACACATGGTGACAAAAAGGTGCAGTGCCTCAATTGGTCTCTGATTTGCCAGCTCTACTATCCATACTCTAAGTGTCTTGTAATTCCAGACTTTCAATATTTTTGTTTTAAAAGAGGCTTTTCTCATTTTATGGTGCTATTGCTGGGTGTTAGAGTATCCAGCCATAGGTCTAATTAAAACTGAGCAAATTAGCCCTTCTACCATATGAGGACCTGAAGGCCCTGGGTATGAACCAGGAAGAGAGCCTTCATCAGAACTGGGCCATGCTAACACGTTGACCTTGGACTTCCCAGCCACCAGAATTGTAAGAAATGAATTTCTGTCATTTATAAGCCACCCAGTCTGTGGTATTTTCTTATAGGAGCCTGAATGGACTTAGAGAAAATTGGTACCGAGAAGTGGGAGTGCTGTTGTAACAAATGCCTAAAAATGTGGAAGCAGCTTTGGAACTGGGTAATGAGCAGAGGCTGGAAGAGTTTTGAGGGTCATACTAGTGTGGGGGATCAGAATTTGCTACTCCAAAATGTGTCTCTTTGGTTTAATTATTTTTAAGAACAAGAGACTCAGAAAGAAACTTTGACCTTTCCCCTAACTGCCTAAAGGAATTTAACTTAGAAGGCCTGTTGCAGAAAGGAGATATCACCATCAATAATTCTAGGTGTGGTAGACAGGAAGGCATCTTACAAGGCCCATTTTATCAAAGTTCTCTCTTGGATCACACTGTCTATAGATGGCCTATCAAACATTTGTTTACCAAACATTTGCTTTTCCATCGCCACGTAAATTGGCTTCATCCCCTTTGAAGTCCCGAACTGCTACCCCCAACATCCTCCTTTGTCTTTACCTGAAGATGATATTAAAGGTGGTGGCTTCAGCCATTTTGGCAAGTTACTCAGTTTTCCTGTGTTTCTGTCGTGTATACATGTTATTAAATTTGTTTGATTTTCTCCTGTTATTTTGTCTTATGTCAATTTAATTCTTAGATGAGCCAGAAGAACCTAGAGGGTAGAGGAATAGTTCTTCCTCCCCTACACTAGAAAAAGCTTGCATTGCCATGAGTGTACTGTTAAGGGCGATTCTCCTGAGGGCTCAGAAGGAGAGAAGGAATGCTCTAGAGAAAGCTTCAATCTTCTTAGAGAATAACTAAGTGGTCGTGAACAAACGTTGGTAGAAACATGGATGGTAAAGGCTATTCTGATGAAGTCTCAGCTGGAAATGAGGAACATGTTATTGGAGGAAAGGCATGTAACATGTAACTGGGGGAAAGGCAACCCTTGTTATAAAGTGTCAAAGAGCTTGGTTGAATTGTGTTCATGTCCTAGTGTTTTGTGGAAGGTAGAACTTGTGAGTGATGAAAATGGATATTTGACTGAAGAAATTTCGAAGCAAAGTATTGAAGGAGTGGCCTGATTTCTCTTGAATGCTTCTAGTAAAATGTGAGAAGAGAGAAGTGACTTGAAGGTTAAATTGTTAATCAAAAGGGAAGTAGACTGGGGGCCGGCCCGGTGACATAGTGGTTAATTTTGTGCCCTCCGCTTCGGTGGCCCAGGGTTCACGGGTTTGGATCCCAGGCACTGACCTACACACTGCTTATCAAGCCATGCTGTGGCAGGCATCCCACATATAAAGTAGAAGAAGATGGGCACAGATGTTAGCCCAGGGCCAATCTTCCTCAGCAAAAAGAGGAGGATTGGCAACAGATGTTAGTTCAGGGCTAATCTTCCTCACACACAAAAAAAGGCAAGTAGACTTTAAAAATTTAGAAAATTCTCGACCTATCCATATTGAAAGAAATAAGAAAGCTTGTTCAGAGAAGACAGAAAGGGTGTGCTGAATTTGATGAGGAGATTGATATGGATTGACTATTTCAATAGAAGCTAGGAGCTATTCATCAACACAATGGGGAGGTTGATTGGCTATCTAACAAGAAGCCAGGACTTATTGTCCAAAACAATGGAAGAATGACCCCATGGCATTTCAGAGATCATGGGGCTATCCTTCCCACCACAGGCCCAGAGTACAAGGGCCTGAAGGGCAGAACGATTTCAAAGAAGGGGCTGCCTCTGCCTGATGCTGCCTCACGTCGTGGGCTCCACTCCTTCAATTCTGGCATCATGCTCCTTGACCACCCTAGGTGCAGATTTTGTTGTGCCCAGCAAAGTCTGGGGGTGTTGCTGTCTCAACCTAGATTTCAAGGATGGAGCCATGCAGGCCTGCAGGCACACAACACTGGCTGAGGGCCTCTGTGGAGGCAGGGTCACCACAGAGAGCCCTAACTAGGGCAATGCCCAGTGAAGCAGGCAGGCTGACTCCACCTCAAGCCCCCAAACCTGTAGAGCCACCTGTGTGATTGCAACCTGGGAGAGCCATAGGCATAGGACTCCAACCTATGACCTGCATGTGTGCCCAGCAAAACTTGTGGATGGGGCCACCAGAGAGCCTTGGGGGCCCAACTTCCACATCAGCGTGTCCAGAAGATGGGACTGCAGCCCCAGTGGGCCTTAAAGTTTTGGACTTGCTCAGGATCTGTTACCCCTTTCTTCTTTCCTATTTCTCCCTTTTGTGTTTTTTTAAAGTTTTTTTCTATTTTTTGAAATATATCTGACATATAATATTGTGTAAGTTTAAGGTGTACAATTTGATACATTTATATATTGTAATATGATTGGCATTGTAGTATTACCACTTCTATCACGTCACATAATTATCATTTCTTTTTTTGTGGTGGAAATACTATTTCTCCCTTTTGGAATGGGAGTCTTTATCCTATGCCTGTCCCGCTACTGCATTTTGGAAGCACATAACATGTTTGATTTCACAGATTCACAACTGGAGAGCAATTTGCCTCAGGATGAATGGTCTTATCCATATCTGATTTAGATGAGACTTTAGACTTAGACCCTTGAGTTGATGACATGTGAGAAGCACATGAGTTTCGGGCGCCATGGGTGGGATGCTATGGTCTGACTGTTTGCATCCCCCTAAAATTCATATGTTCAAATCTTAATGCATTAGGAGGTGAGGGCTTTGGGAGGTGATTAGGTTATAAGGGCTGCCCTCATGAATGGGCTCAGTGCCTTTATAAAAGAGGTTCCAGAGAGATGCCTTGTTCCTTTCACGATGTGAAGACACAATGAGAAGGCACTGGCTATGAACCAGGAAGAGAGCTCTCACCAGAACGTAACCATGCTGCCACCTTGATCTCAGATTTCCCAGCCTCCAGAATTGTAAGAGATAAATTTCTCTTGTTCATAAACTGAGCAAATTAAGCAGTTATTAATGCCAGAAAAGGTGTGTGTGTGTGTGGCGGGAGGATTTGACATGGGAATAATTGGGTGTGAAAGGAAATGTAATCATTGCACATCTCTTGGTTCAGATGTGAACATTCTTTATGATATAATAATTTTTAAAATACAGAATATAAACTTAACTAAAAATTGTGACATAACTATCATGCAAGCAGGAGAGGAGACAATGCATAATGTGAAAGAGCTACAATCCTCATCTACTTTAGAAGGAAGTCAGTACCTGTATGAGTTTCCTACTGCTGCTGCAACAAATTTACCACAAACTTAGTAGCTTAAAACTACAGAAATTTATCTTACAGTTCTGAGGTCAAACGTCCAGTATGGGTCTCACTGAACTAAAATCCAAGTATTAGCAGGCTGTGTTTCTTTCTGGAGGTTCTAGGGAAGAATCCATTTCCTGCTCATTTGGGTTATTGGCAGAATTCAGTTTCTTGCAATTGTAGAACCGAGGTCTCAGTTGCCTTACTGGTTGTGAGCTTAAGGCTGTTCTCAGCTTCTAGAAGTCACCAAATTCCTTGGCTCATTACTCCCTTTATCTTCAAAGCCAGCAATGGTGTGGGGGTGTGGGGGGTGTGGGGGGGAATAAAGGGTAGGGAGGAGGGAGTCTTTCTCATGTCCATCTCTCTGATACGCTCTGCTGCTTTCCTGGTACACTTTTAAGGACTCATGTAATTAGATTGGGCCTGCCCAGATAATTCAGGATAATCTCCCCATCTCAAGATCCTTAAGCTTCATCATATCTTCAAAGTCCCTTTTGCCATGTAAGGTAACAAATTCACAGGTTCTAGGAATTAGGACATGGACATTTTTGTGAGTCCATTATTTTGCCTGTCACAATATCTAATGTCTAACATGGATGAATTTTTAAAATTTTGTGTATATTATTTCCAAAGGAAAAGAAACATTAGGAAAAATTGTAAAGATATTGCTTCTAGGAAGTGTGACTGCCTTGTGTGCTTGTGGGTGGGGACAGGAGGTTTGAAATAAGGTAGTAGTCTTTTTGTTAAAAGCCTCTAAATACTACTTGACTTTTTAAACCATGTGCAAGCACGATTTTGATAAAAATTAAATGAAATTATAAATAAAATAAAGGGAAAGTTTTCCAATTGCTGTTTTAGAAAAAAGGAAATCAGGTTTGCAAATAAGGATGGAGCTTAGAAGGAAATACTCAATGCCTCAGTTGTATATAAAGGCCTATCTGAAATTTAGGAAGGTGCATGCTTCTATTTTTTACTATGGATTGTAGGAAAATCTGTTTCCTAGCTGTCAGATCTTTTAAACTTAGTTAATCACACTTATGAGTAAAATGGGGTGTTTGGATCTAGATGCTATAACCTAATGTGCTGGATTGCAAAAGGACACAATTCTTTACTCTTCTGGTGTCCTCAAAGTAAGATTTTGCAGCTCTTCCTATCAAGGCATGGAGTCTGTTTTCCCTTCCTCTGAATCTGAGCTAGCCTTGGGATGACTCACCACTGGGATGAAGCAGAAATGACACTGTCAGTTCTGCACCTGGGCCAAAAACGGTCTTGCTTCTGCTCTCCCTCTTGGACTTCCACCTGTAACATAAGAACAAACCTTGGCTACCCTGCTGGAGGATGAGAGACTACGTGGAACAGAGACAAGGCATCCCAGCTCAGGCCATGCTAGACCAGCCTTCCTCTGGCTACCTGGTTGCTGACTGCAGATACATGAATAAGCCCAGCTGAGACTGGAAACATTGCTCAGCTGAGCCCAGCCCAAATTGCCAATTGTAAGCTAAATAAACGGTGGTTTTTCTAAGTTATTTTGTTTTGTGGCGGTTTGTTAGATAGCAATAGCTAAGTGATTTGCCAAAATATCACCGTGTTATAATTACAAGCCATGTACCTAAGTGAAAATAAAGAGCCTATTTAGCTTCAGAACTCAAATTTATAAAGCAAAACTGCCATTTTTCCTCTTGGGATTTTTTGTGTGTGTGTGAGGAAGACCAGCCCTGAGCTAACATCCATGCCAATCCTCCTCTTTTTGCTGAGGAAGACCGGCCCTGAGCTAACGTCTATTGCCATCATCCTCCTTTTTTTCCCTTTTTCTCCCCAAAGCCCCCCGTAGATAGTTGTATGTCATAGTTGCACATCCTTCTAGTTGCTGTATGTGGGACGCCGCCTCAGCATGGCCTGATAAGTGGTGCGTTGGTGCGCGCCCAGGATCTGAACCCAGGCAGCCAGTAGCAGAGCATGCGCACCTAACCGCTAAGGTGCAGGGCCGGCCCCTCTTGGGATGTTTTATTGTCAATACTTTATTTCTGGTAGCATTCTATTCTTTTGTGAGTTTGTAGAATAATTTTATACTACTTTTATGACAGTGCTTTTTCTACCCTCTCAGAATCCAATTTGACTTCCTAAATTGGAAATTCATATTCAAGAGACAGGAATTAAGAGGACCTTTTCCTCATGTAAACCACAGTTTTATGAGGGCAGTAGAAATATGAGAAATATTTGATTATTTCTGTAACCACATAAAGTAGCAACTCCTAGCTCAAAGAGAAATGGACTTTTCCTTATGATGTAAGGCAGAGTTAAAGATAGAAAACAGAAGGATTCTTCCAGGGTTTTTAGTAGTACTTTTTGGATAATAAAATTCCTACATTCCTAGAAAAATATAAAGAACAACATAACAGTCACTTACAATACTGTTTCCCAGAGATAGTTTACATTTTAGCATATTTCTTTCCATGTTTTAGATATAATTTTACATAGTTTTAAAATCTTTTGTAATGCTTTATATGCTTTTTTCCATAAAAATACATATTAAGCAGTTTCCCATTAAAATTCTTTTTCTGTAAATAATTTTAATAGCTGTGTAATATTCCATTTTGTGCATAATTATTATTGACTTTAGTTTATAACCCAATAAAATTATGTATAATTTAGGTTCCCTTCTTTGCAAATTTATTTAAATACTATATTGATGAACATTATTGTGCATACATCTCTGTATGTATGTTCATGTTTCTGGTTCTTTTACTAGGATATATGCCTAGAAGTAGAATTATCAGGAAAAAGGGAATTAATGTTTTTAAGGCTCTTGAAACACATGAAATTGTCCTCCCCAAGAATGGCATCAGTCCCTATTCCTGGCTGCAGTGAATGAGAGAGTTTCTTTCAATGCACCTTCACCAGTATTACGTACATGCTTATTTAAAAATCTGGCCTATTTTGAAAGACATGAAAAAAATCCTATGGCTTTATTTTGTGTTTTTATTGCCAGTAATGTTGACCAGTTTTTCAGGTATGTATTATAAATTTTCATTTTCATATTAGAAGAGTTTTCTGATCTTGTCATTTTCTTCATTTACCAAAAGCATTTTAATTCCTAAGAGCTCTTTGTAGATTAAGGATTTTAATTTTTCTCTCTCACATTTCTTGCATATAATATTCCCAGCTTCTTGTTTGATCTTGATAAGCAGAAGTCTTTCACTGTTATGTAGACATAACTATTGCAATTTCTACTTGTTTTTTTTGTTACTTTTCAGTTTAGAATACTTTCTTTATCCCAAGATCAGATAATTATTCATCCATTTTCTTCTGTGCTTTTATATGTTTTATTTTTTTCAGCTTCTGAATGTTTAATCAGTAGGTCAATCATAGCTTCTAGTGATTACGTGTTTAGGAAGAACGAATTACCCCAGGTGAACTGTGGTAGAGGAATCTTCCTTTCTCTTCTTTGAGGGAATATACGCTTCTGAAATTGTGATGAAGTTAAAAGATATTTAGTTTAGCTTTGACAGTTGAATTTTTTCTGTCATACTGTTGGGCTTTTTCTCTCTGATCCACAGAGATACAGCACTATCTCCAAGAGAGATGACCTAGATTCATTCTCTGTCTGACAAAAGCCAGTTGAGAGAAGTGAGATCTGTTTCTGCATCAGTGATCAGTCTGACTACTGTGATGAGAAATTGGGGACACACATACATTCAAGAGAATGGATGGACAATATAGCATGTTGGTAGTTGGCCTTGATGCTTTTCGTTTTAATAAAATCACTCTAAGTGTGCAAATTTTCCTCTTCTTAATTGCTTCCTGATGGCTTCCTAATATAAAAAAGGACTTTATTTTCTCAAAATATCAGCTAAACCCATCCTTTATTGCAATATGCTTGGATACCACTGCAATAAAATTTGAGCAAAAGTAACATAGCTTATTAACAGCATTGGAATTTTTATAGAAATTATGTACTCTCTACCTACTTCCAAACCTAGAGCAGTTTACAAAAACTTAGATACTATGAATTCCGCAAATCTATAATTATTGAGGGAAGTATCAAGTATTGGGAGCAAGGGCTGGGATGGAGATGGGAAAGAAAAGAGTGGAATAAATAGAACAGAAAGTGGAGCAAAAGGAGGCTATTGTTTAACGAATCAAATAACCCTAAACTTCTTGGAAGCCAAGGTAAAAAGGGAAACACAATGGTTATACAGCTATCCAGCAGAGGGAGACACACAAAATCACCAGGAGACACCAACCGTAGCTCAGAACTCGAAGAGAAACTGAACACATGAGTTGGGAACTGAACAATATAATGAACAGCATCATCAATAGCAATTCTACAACAGCTACAGAGACCTTCTTTATATGCCAATTTTTGTATTGGTTCTATATATATTTTTTTAATTGAGGAAGATCAGCCCTGAGCTAACATCCATGCTAATCCTCCTCTTTTTGCTGAGGAAGACCGGCTCTGAGCTAACATCTATTGCCAATCCTCCTCCTTTTTATCCCCAAAGCCCCAGTTGTATGTCATAGTTGTATGTCATAGTTGCACATCTGGTTCTATATTTTTAAATGAGGGCATAATGTTAATGGTAGTTTTGTGAAGGCATTTCTTGAGGAATCAGTTGGGAAGGCAATACTGAGCATAGGGAGGATTTGGAATGAGAATCTATAACATAGAAGGAGCTGCAGGTACTGGGGCTAGTTAGTAAAATTAGGATTTGTGAGATCAATCAATTCAGTAGCATATTTACATGTTACCTGAACTTCAGGGAAAGAGAGATAAAGCCAAGTTGGGAGGTGGGAGGGATGAGGGAAAACTGTAGGAGGCTTACATTTTGGCTCCAGCGTCCACCATGTTCTTTTGTGTGGTTCAAGAGTCTACATTCTTAGTAACTGCCTTTTCTACTCCTCACACCATAAAGAGGTAGAGTCCCTCTTTCTAGGCAGGGATCAGGATGCAGAGTTGAATTGAGCTTAGGTGAAGAGAAGTGATGTATGAAAATGATCACGTTTTGATAGAGCTGAAATTTTTAGTTCAGGAACCTCTCTTCTGATTTCAGTGGATTCCTATCTGAGCTCACTTCTCCCCATTTCCCCCTTTTTTTGTGACAAAATTAGATGCTATTATTAAATATATAGAAAGTGAGAGAAAACACATATTCATAGTTACATGACTTAAATACAATTCTATATTCAATTCTATATTCAATTCAAATAATCCCTTCATATAAATTCCTTTTTTCACTTTTTATTACAGAAAAGTTCAAACATATGGAAAGTAGAGAGAAGGGTACAATGAATCCATTAACTATCTCCTTGCTGCACCAGTTACTGACATTTTTGCCAATTTTATCTCATCTCTCCCATTTCCCACTTATTCCAAAATTTTATTACAAAAATTTTATTACAAAAATTTCAAAGTATAGAGAAAAGTTGAAAAGTTGTAAAATGAACCCTCATATGTCCACCATCTAGATTCTACAATTAGTCCTTTCCTGTATTGGTTCTATAACAAGTCTATCCATCCACCAATCTCTCTTATATTTTGGTGTATTTCTGAGTAAGTTCAGATGTCAATATATTTCCCCCAAATACTTCAGATAGCATTTTAGTAATAGAGTTCAGCATTTGTTCATAGTTCCTTATTTTGAAGTAAATTTTACATACAGTGAAATTCACAAATCTTAGTGTACCATTTCATGCATTTTGACATATGCATACACCTGTGTAGTCCAAACTCCTATTAAGACATAGAATATAACCATCACCCTAGGAAACTCCCTCATGCCCCTTCCCAGTCAACTCATGCATCCACCCCAACTCCAAGAAACAACCACTTTTCTGATGTTTTTCACCTTACATTAGTTTCACCTCTTTTAGAACTTCATATAAATGGGATCATATAGTGTGTGCTCTTTTGTGTAAGGCTTCTTTCAGCACAATATTTTTGAAATTTATCCATGTTGTGTGTATAAGTAATTTATTTTAATCCCCCACTTAAAAACATTTTTGATGAAGTATTTTAAAGAAAATCCCATGCATCAAGTTCTTTTGCCCATTAATGCTTCTATTTTATCTGTATTCTCATTTGTACGTAAGTGTAGTCTGCCTCCAATTTTTCCCACGATAATCTTTTCACTTCCTTCCTTCTGGTAAGCCACAGGTCAACCAATAGTTTTGCCTGCATAGATGCCATGCTACTGACACACTTAGGTCACCAGACACTTTCTGATAGTAGTATAAATGAGGGAAATTTAACACTTTCTCCTTGGAGTAAACATTTTTTGCTGTATTATTCTTTTAATTTTTTTTTCTAGAGAATCGTGTCTTTTTCCTCCCTAGATCTTCCAAGAAACTTTCTGCCCACTTGGTTTTCCCGCCCCCATCTTTGTATGCATCACATCCCAATCATAGCATTACTCCACTCATCTGTGCTCTATAACAGGAACTATTTTACACGAATGATCCTATTTTCATGGATCCTTTGAGTCTGTTATTCATAGATGGGGAAAAATCAGAGTAGATAAAGTAGGGAATCATGGTGGATTAAGAGCACAATTTGTACTCTACCTGAAAGCCCCTTCTTTTCCTGAATATTTTGGTAAAAATATTAAAGAAGTTGTTTTATACTTTCTGTCAACTTAAAATTATTTTGCTCTCAAATTTCCAGAAATAAGCTTATGACCTGAACTACTAGCAGTTTAATTGTGGGACTGGGAATGAACAAGGTTAGTCTATGTTCCGCTTCACCACAGACGTCAAGTTAATTAGTAAAAAACCCAGAAGGAGCAGTTTGGGGATTTGATTTTCATCACCCACTGGAGGGAAAAACATCAGCTACTGAGAGCATGTGCTCGGTATGTCTGCACCCTGTTATTCCTCCACTTAAAATTTGACATCCAGAATAAAATGCAGCCTCTTGGGGGATCACATGTGGTGGTAAACACATTTACTTCTTCTTTTGTGAGAAGCAGAAAAATGCAAGTGACTTACTTATTTCTAAAATATGTTGGCACCTAAACTGTTAAGCAAAATATAGTATAAAAATCAAGACTATATTTTAAATGTCTCTTGTATAATTATATACTATATTACATAGTACAAGCGATATATGCTTTATGCAAAAAATAAGTAGTATATTCTTTGAAAAATACAATAGTTTGAACCAACTTACCATAAAATGTGCTAAAACGTCTAATCTGGAGACATTTTTGAAAATGAGCTTTCGGGACTTGGTAGGTTTTCCCTTTCTCTATTTAGAAATGGCCACAACAAAGCACAAAATTGTTATGACAATGGCATTCCACTTTGGCATAAAAAGAAATGTCTGTTGAAATTAAAACTTCTGCCCTCTTTTCCCACATTTCTGTCCTCTTTTCCCACAATGTTTCTGTTGCATACCTTAACAAATACTTGTTGAAAGAAGAAGTATAAATAAGTAAAAATTGTGTGGATTTAGCAGAAGACAGCAATTACCTGGAGCTATCATTTAGGAGTTGACAGAATATGTTTGGGTTCATTATCACTTTTGATGTGTTCAAAATTCATGAAGTATGCAGAATAGATGAGGCTCAGTGATATTCAGTGATTTGCCCAAGGTAACACAGCTGTGAAAATCAGTACTCAAATCTTGATCATCTGAGCTTACACCTAGTCTTCTTCCTCTTACATCAGACATCTCCATTAAAGACAGAAGACTTACACACACACAAGTGACTATAACACGAGACAATAGACAATGAATGATGTATGTGTAATATAAGATTCTAAACATCATGTCCAGGTGGGATTATCAGGAAGCATTTTTGGATGATATTGCATCAGACCTTTCTTATTGACATAGAAGAGATAGGCTGAATTTCTCTCCCATTCCAAAATACTTATGGCTTCTGCATTTGGATTCAAATGAAATGTGCAAGTGTTTCAGGTTTGTGTGTCCTTTGTAAATACAACTTCCTGTTGGGTTTTAGGAAGATACTAAAATGACTTAAATGACTTCCCGAGTATTAAATAGCTCATGAAGAGCAAGATCTTGATGAATTATGTGTAATCAGAGACACAAATCCAAGACATGAATTTTAAAATTCCTCTCAGATACACGTGATTCAAAGCAGCAGAAGGAAAGATAAGTTTACAGGAAAAAAATGTTTTGGGGTTTTCCCATTCCTTCAGTGGTCACAAATTCTGTGAAAGGTCAAAGGTCTAAGAAAACAATATTGCTTGTTTGTACATTTTGCCCTCAAGCTCATTTTTAGACACGTTTTTTAAAATCCTTTCAAGGCTTTAAGGCAAAGCATAGCTAGACTCATCCTAGAAGTTATTACTGAAATAGGGGCTGAGGAGTCTCTGCATCAAGTCCTCCCTTCCAGCATCCATGATCTGATGGTTATTGTGGGATATTGGCCTCCAGGAAGTGAAGTCATTGGGCTTCTTCAGACAATGTCTTGGTTTTGTAGGTTTCTACATAGGAGGGCAAAAGAAACAAGAGCATAGCACCACTAACAGACAAGCAATGTGGTAAGCCTGGAATTGTGGTCAGAGGAGGTTTGCTTCAATCAGCTCTATCTTCTCCTCAAAACACCAATCATGGCCATTTTTTATTCTGTACACCCTCAGTGGGGCCACTCAGCACCATGGGCAGTTCCCTTCCTGATCATAATCTTGGTCCCCTGAAAAAGCCTTCCTTCCCCTGCACATCAATGCCCCAGGGACAATGCAGCCCTCTCAACTCTCCATATCAATTCTGTGAGATGTAGCTCTGGCTCTTCAGCTGCCTCTGTGGACCTCCGTGAAGCTTGTGCATGCTGGCAGGCATTGTCCTAAAGCCCTTACTCCAAAGCTGGTACACCAAATATGGAAAAGAGCAGCTAGTTAGGAGAGAGAGTAATAGGAACAGTTAAAATGATATAGGAAAAGTGGTAAGATGAGGAGAAATGTCAAGATGTGAGTGAGAGGAAAGGAAAGAAAACAAAAAGGCTTATGTGGTGAGAAGGAGGTGACATGCTGCCTCCTGGGAAAATGCTCCTCTCTGTATGAGTTCTTCAGAGCCTTTGGGAATGCTCAGGAAACATCTGTTGAAGCATATACCTCAATGGAAGAATTTTAGAATATTTATTCCACTTATATTAGGAAAAAAATAATTTTGCAGGGTACCAAACTGATCAAGCTTCTTAAGTCCACAGGCCAGCTTTTTACAACTGGCAAGTATACATTATATGTAAGGATACTAAAATATATAATTTTATGATAACCAAACTCTAGTATTAGCCATTCATCTTTTTTTGTTATATTAGAAAAAGTATAATGAGATTAGCATTCTTCAGACTCTGTATTTTCCATATTTTTAATCATCTTTATTAGGTATCAATCATCTTGTGGCCAATATCATTCTAAAGCCAAAAAAAGTAAAACTGACATTATACATTTGCTGGTCTTTATAACTGATATATTTGGTAGTTATGAGGATGACAGTATTTATGGGTTAATTTTTTATGTTAATGGCATCTCTCTACTTAATGTTGTGTATGACCTTCTGAAACATTACAATAATTAATAGAAATTAATACATTCCTGTTTTTCCTCAATATTTGCTATGAAATTGATATGTTCCTGGAGAAAACAGCTTTGGGCTTCTTGCAAACTCCACTTAAATCCAATGAAAATCATGTCTCTAAAGGTGAAAGGACCAGAAGGATTGAGCACATACTCTGAGCCAGGTGCTTTCAAGAACATTTCACTTAATTCCCAAAGCGACCTCTTCCAGTTGGCTTTATCCTTCTTCTTCACTTGAGAAAACGGAGCCCCACGTTGCAAAATAGTCACAGAACCAGTATCTGAAGTTTTATGTTTCTAATTCCAAAACATGTGCCCCTTTTACTACACCCTATGACCTTGTTCTACAAAACAAAGTCTACTGTTTGTCTTGTTTAGAATAGAAGTTGCACACTATGCCGAAATATTCCTACTTTTGGATCTGTCCAGCAGAAGGGGGAGATGCAGCTGATGTGTTCTCTAGCCTTACAAGTCAACTCCTGTATGTGCTTCTACTCAAAATTAAATGGCTATTTAAAGACCTCAGGCATTGACTATTCCTTCTAAAAAGATTTTTTTATGGTACTTAACATCCTTGGAAGAAACTTCAATAACTATACCTTTATTCAGAATTCGCATTAAAAAGTATATTTATACACAATAAAGTATTGTGACTGAAGACTTTTATCATTATTTAGATTTTTGTTTGTGGCTTGTTTTGGTCCCATGAGGTCCACTTAAGGACAGCACATTTGTATTACTACATTTATTTGGTAGAAAATGAGACACAATTTTTGAGGAGTTGCCCTGCGGTAATGTTTCCACAGAGATTTTGTGGAAGAAGTAAGCTGAAAATAAACTGGAATACTTGTAATCCCAAACATTGCAATGTTAGATATAAATTAAGTTTCTACAAAAGATAACTATAATGGACAATTTAATAATGATAGTGTTGTACTTTAGATAAAAGTCTAGAAATACAAAAATAAGAGACATCGGAACTTAAGTAAAGGAATAAATCTAGACTATTTAGAGCAGCTGCCCACTCTATACCATTTTCCTCCTGAAATTGCTTTTATATACATAACTCGTAGATCTTTCTTCCTCTCCATGGAAACCTAACTTTTCTCTCACAACATTTCTACAAAGCTAATTACTGCCACAAAGATGTATGGTGCAAAGAAAGGTATTGATCTTGACAATTCTGAGAAAATTCAAGCATTGAAAATACCTCGTAGAGGACTACTGGTTTGGGTCAACTTTGTGTGGGAATGTTTAAATATGACATGCTAATATGATGCAAATAGGTAAGCACTTCTGGACTGTGTAGTGTGTCAAATACTTTGAAATAGCCAGTTGCCCACTCCTCTGAGTTGGAAGGCATAATATGTCCTTTGTGAGACAGAGGGTTATTCTGCAAATAAGGAATAATTTCTCAAGTGTTACAGGTGGACATATGGTTGCATTGATCTGAAAATGCTTAACTGACTTAGACATCCAGAAAGCGGGAAAATAATTATTCTGGTCAAAGGTTAATTTGTTGTACTGCAATACTTGGCACCAAGAGGTACATTCTAATCATTTTTTGGTGCCACAACTGTGTATCAAGTCCAGCAGTGGGTGTGTGGTTGATTATATGCCAGTGGCAGGCTGCTGAAATGCTATTTTAGCTGAGGCCAGCTTGCAGTTATTATAATTATTGACACTTCTGCCCAAATTTAGTGTCAGGAAAGTTGAAATCTCATTTCTGAGGAAGAGTATCTGAGGTACGGGGGTTGTACTTTCTGAATTATCATTTGTTAAATTTAATTTTAAAACAAAAGCCACATAGTTGTTCCAGTTGTATCAATTTGATTCAAATGCTTATAAAGTGGTCATGATCACACACAAAGTTCCTGGAATTTTTTTTGTTGATGAGGATCTCCCTTTGGAAAGTGATGAGGGAAAGATTATATTAGTTTGTACAGATCATATATTCTATCACTGTTTGGTGATTTTTTGAGGGTGCCATTTCATCTTATTACATTTTCCCTCCTGGTTATAAAATAGTGATAATCCTCATTCATGAAACACTGTAAGTTTTCTAAGATACCACCTTCTCAGTGTAATTTCCCTAGTGTAAACTAGAACATATATTACTTGACAACGTTCTTTTCCTTGAACTCTTTTTCTGTGAGTTGTTTGACTGCAAAATTAAGATCACAATGTACCTATCTTTTTTCTCCTCCTGGTCCCCCAGCATGCACTCTCGCACTCCTCCCCTCAACCACTTTCCACTTACCACTCAGGATATTCTGATAAAAATGCAAATCTGATTATCCTCACTTCCTTTACTTCCCAAGCACCAAAGCCCTCCTCCCAAGACAGAGGCTAGGGAGATGGATGGCCTTTGTCTAATAGCTAATTGGAAAATTTCAAGAGGTAATTTCAAGCTTTAACCAGGTCTTTGTGTACCTAACTGAGTGGTCATTAAGAGGTATATGACTTAGTAATGGGCCATTTATTATTCTTGGCAGGCTCAAGGAGATACAATTTGAGAGAAGGGGATAATAGAAAGGAACTAACACTGCTTTGCATAATTATGTATTGTACTAACTCCATTGTGAGAGAGGTGACCTTATAAATTATGGAACCTTAGGAAATTATTGCCTTTTCCTTCTTATGAAGCTGGTTTGTACTGTCTCTACCAAATAGTGTTTGTCCTCCAAAGACTATGGGTGAGTGTATGTGGGTATACCTAAGTATATGTTCCAACAGTTAACCAAAGGGCAATCAGAAAAATAGAGACTTGTATGCAACTCATGCTGGTGGGAGGAGCTCAAATTAGAACATAAAAGTGATGCCAATGCACACCTGGATGTTTCCAGGGATGCTGAATGTCAAAGATTATTATGGATTGTCCTGTGGGACCCTAAGTCACAAATATAGATTGAATAACTCAGATTTAGGGAAATTGCTTGGATCAGAGAGATATATCCTGGGCTGAGAACAAGACCTGTGTGCACTGGAAAGATGTCCTGAAAGGTCGGTGAAGATTTGCAAGATGGATTTTAGAAGATGGTTCTTTTGGAGAGGAAGTGGATCTGAGAACATGTGTGTGGAATTTGGAAACCCCTCCCAGCATACATACTGGGTCCTTTTCCTTTGGATTATGGGGGTAAACATATTCGCTATGCTCTTTTAGATTTTTTTTTCTTCCCTGCTCCACTGTAATTCTCAACCATGCAGGAAATTCTAATATCCATACAGCTTTAAAGGGTGGAACTATTAGGATAAATGGACAGAAAAAAAGAGGAAAATGTATCCTGCCTCATTTCTCTCCCACTGGGGCCATATGGAGGTGCTGCAGCCCATTAGAGAACTCTGCCTAATGTTCAAGCTACAACTGCTGCGGTGGAGTGAGCAGGAGAGGCAGCACTGAGATGTGGGCAGCAATTTACAACACTGAGGAAACTTTTATGTGAACAATGCAGGAGCCAAATCAGACAAGCTCTCCTCTCTTCCCAAAAATGCAGAGGAAGTGAATGCTTACTGAAGATGTCAACTGCCACTTGCACTGATGATCTTGTTACTGTCCTAATTAGAATCCTTCAATAGCTTCCTATTTCCCTTAGGAAAATAGATGAAATAGAGACACCTACGAGGCCTTACAAGATGGTGCCCCCTGCCTTCCTTTCCCTCCACCTCTTCTAGATGCTCTAAGGCATCTGTTTCTCTCCTACCTTAGGACCTTCACACTGGCGTGTTTTATTCCTCGCCTTTGAGTAAACTAACTCCTTCTTAGCCTTTAGGTTTCAGACTAAAAATCATCTCTTCAGGAAGGCCTTTTTTGGGTTGCCAGACTCTGTTAAACCCCCTAGTTCTGAACTCCATGATTCTGCTTAGTTAAGATCCATCTTTTTTTTTTTTTTTTTTTGTGAGGAAGATCAGCCCTGAGCTAACATCTGTGCCAATCCTCCTCTTTTTGCTGAGGAAGACCGGCTCTGAGCTAACATCTATTGCCAATCCTCCTCCTCCTTTTTTTTCCCCCCAAAGCCCCCGTAGATAGTTGTACGTCATAGTTGCATGTCCTTCCAGTTGCTGTATGTGGGACGCGGCCTCAGCATGGCCCAAGAAGCGGTGCGTCAGTGCGCGCCCGGGATCCGAACCCGGGCCGCCAGCAGCGGAGCGCGCGCACTTAACCGCTAAGCCACGGGGCCGGCCCAGTTAAGATCCATCTTAATTAGTCAATGTCTCATCTTTGCTAGCCTATAATCTCTTTGAGACAGCTATTATGACTGAAGGGGACCAGAATATGCCACCCTCAAATATGCCACTTTGGCATAAGGATTCTTTTGAACTGAAGGCAAATTAGCTCTCTGCCCTCCCCCTTTCTGTCTAAAAGCAAGACACAAATTTCCATTTGTAAAGGTGTCTCCTTCTCTGGACCGGGAAGAAACCTACTCCAGAGATAACTCTTAGCACCTGAGATGACTCTTATCTCCATAACAAACCTTACTAGACTACCCTTAGGTACCAGACATTTCCTCCTCTCACCTTCCCATAACTTACCTTCCCCTCCCCTCAGGAATCCCCAAACTCCTTTTCCTTTGTCTAGCCTAAGATGGTATATAAGCCCACAATTCTAACCACCTCCTTGAGCCACTTTTCTTTGTCAACTCCCATGCATACATAAGTAGTGAAATTTTTTTTCCTGTTAATCTGTCATTTGTCAGTTTAATTTGTAGGGCCCAGCCTGAACCTAAGAAGGCAGAGGAAAAAGTTTCCTCCTCCCCTACATGTCTGTCTTGTTCACTGACCCATCACTCAGTCTCTAGCCAAGTGCTTGAAATCCAGTAGGTACACAAAAATATTTGCTCATCAGTTGAATTCATCAGAGCAATAAACACAAATTTATGTGTAAGGATATTGATTATATTATTATTTAAAATAAGAAAGACTTGGATATATTATATATGTCTAAAATCAGAGAAGTGACTAAATAAATTATATGCGTATGCTAGAATAGTATTTGTTCACAAATCATTTTTTAGACTATTGATAAAGAGCATTTTCAAAGTGTTTTATCTCCCCAGATATATTGAAAATGTCTCATGTATTAGAAAGATAATTGCTTTCTTTCCCTATTCACGATCAAGTACAACTAGCAGTGTCAGGCTTCTTAAAAGGTTCTGTGTCTTTTTCACCTCCCATTCATTTGAAGATCTACTGCAGTTTGGAATCTGCCCCCCCCCACTTTTATCATCCTAAATGTCCTCCTAAATCTTTATTCTATTTGACCTCTGCCAAAGTTGACACGATTGAGCAGTTTCACTTTCAAGACTACTATCATAAAAACTACCGAGATAACTCTGGAGCTTGAGGGAGGGGGATTGAATGGAAAGGAGCAGAGGGAAACTTTCTGTAGTGATGGAATTCTTTATTTTGATCTGAGTGATCAAGATAAGATTGTACATTTTACTCGATGTTAATTATACATGAAAAAATCTTGCTAGTATTTAAAAAACACACTGTAACCATTGCTTCCCCAATCTTCATTTATTTAATTCCTTCTTTTTTATCCCATGATTTCTGTTTATCTCTCTGACAGCCTGGTGCTATTTTTTTAATTAAAGCTAAATTTACATACAATAAAATGCACAAACCTTAAGTGTACGATTCAATGAGTGTTAACATATATATATATCTTTGTATTGTAGAGAAGGTATACATTTCTCTCTAAGCACTGCCTTGGCTACAGCTTACAAATTTTGATATGTTGTGTTTTCATTATCATTCAGTCCAAAATATTTTCTAATTTTTCTTGTGAATTCTTGTTTGATCCATATGTTTTTTAGAAAACAACCCCTCAAATATTTGGAGTACACTCACGCGTCACTTAATGACGGGAATACATTCTGAGAAATGCATCATTAGGCAATTTTGTCATTGTGTGAACATCATAGAGTGTGCTTACACAAACCTAGATGGTATAGCCTACTACACATCTAGGCTATATGGTACCAATCTTGTGGGACCACTGTCATATATGTGGTCCATCGTTGACTGAAACGTCATTATGCGGCACATGACTGTATTTCAGCATATCTTATTATCATTTATGTCTAGTTTAATTCCATTGTGATCAGAGAACAAATAGAACTCTGTATGATTTCAAGCTTTTGAAATGTATTGAAACTTATTTTATGCCCCAGACAGTGGTTTATCTTGGTCCTTTGCCCAATTTTTAATTGAGTTGTCTTTTATTTTTGAGTTGTAAGTGTTCTTTATATAGTCTTGATACTAGATCCTAATTAGACACATTGCAAATACTTTCTCCCATTCTGTAGATGGTCTTTTCACTTTCTTGATTGCTTTCTTTGAAGCATGAAAGTTTTTATTTTGATAAAGTCCAGTTTACCTATTTTTCTTTTAATGCTTGTGCTTTTGCATATCTAAGAATCCGTTGCCTAATTCAAGATCATGAAGATTTACCCCTGTGTTTTCTTCTAAGAGTTTTACAGTTTTGGTAATTAAATTTAGGCCTATGATCTATTTTGAGTTAATTTTTATATATGGTGTGAGTTAAGCAACCAAATTCATTCTTTTGCACGTGGATATCCAGTTGCCCCAGCACCATTTGTTGAAAAGACTGTTCCTTCCTCTGTTGAATGATCTTGGCACACTTGTTGAAAATCAGTTGACCATAAATGTGCAGGTTTATTTAAGGACTCTCAATTCTATTCCATTGATCTATGTCTACCC